CAAACAAACACAAGTTGTTCTTCATCAATCAGTAGCAACCAATGATGATAAAGGTAGAAATTCTATATAGTAGGTTAATAAATAAATAACCTATAGTAATAAAAAACAAAAAAGAAATTAAAGGATATACTTTCAATTTCTTTGACTGTAGATTTCCAGTTATTCGTTTTGTGTAGTTTTCTGCGTTTATTAATAAATTTCAGTTAATATTATCCTTTATAACACGCATCTCTTCAAAGAAAAAGAGAGACACACATCAATATATCACGATGGAAGAAATAAACAGATACAAGAGAATACAGAGGAAAGTTTCATTGAATCAAGAGTGGCTGTGGAGTGTGATCTTTAGTTCTTATATCCAAACAACCGCACGAACTGGATGTGGGTGTTTTAATCGTCGACCAACACAGCCACATCCACACCCACACCCTCTAATGAAGATCCAACTATTCCTTCTAGGACAGCCACATGAGGACACAAGTAATTTAACGTTAAAGTTAAAGTCTCAATCCTATCTTGAACTCCACAGACTCCCAGAGTCCAAGGAACATGGAAGTGCGGGGGTACGTATTTTTCCTCCTTGGATAACCCTCGAAAGGTTACCAAGAGTATCTGTAGAGGACCTATTGAAAGTTACTAACACTGTGTACCGATAACTAACTATCGGATAGTTACTACGATTTCCTCAAGATAGCTCTAGAAAAATTACTAATACTGTCTTCTGGATAGCTGTGTACAAGCTTTAGATGTGATTTTGATATCGTCTTCAAGAGTCGGAACTATCTGAATGACCAGGCTCTGGACCACGACACCGAAAATGATCGAACGCAGAATAATCGAACTCGGAAATCTCGGACTGAGGGCATGCCTATTTAGTAGGTATTTTTCCTTTCCTTCATGTCGCTCGTCTAGACGTCCAACCATAAGAAAGACGAAAAAAACAATATGACATCTCGTCTACCACATGCAACACTAGATGCTCTGTTTATCTACTGAACAATTAAGTATTTGAGGTCATTTAAAAATTAAAACAGGAAAAATGCAGTCTTGCAATGCTTTTTAAAAAAATACGCGGAATAAATTATTATGTTCGCTGTATTCTCATGTACTTCCTGTACTCCAGGAGTACTTGGAGTACAGGGAGTACGTGTTTTCCCCTTGGTATATAAACAATGGATTTGTCATCAAAATATCTCTCGTGAACAATAAAAAGGAGGCAAAGATGGATGATTTCATTTCTATTTGGAACGGAGTATAAGGTCTTGATTAGAAATGTGAAGTACTAAAAATAAAAGCTAAGCGAAACCAAAATCGGGAATATGAGAAAAAAATTGTTCAAAACGGAACAAAAATTTGTGGATAAGTTTTTTATGATAGTTAGTGAATTATGTTATAAATCGTATCAATCAAAGCAAAACTCCAGAGAGATCACCAGAAAAGTAGCATTCATCGACTTAATCAATCAAAAAAACGAGTATTTAAGAACTTTTTTAGATTCAATGCGAAGAAATTCTGACAAATTTCTCTCTACGCCGGGGCCAAGACCGAGATCAGGACTTCAAAACATTAAAAACAGCGAGATCTCTGAAAAACAATTGCTTGGATCAGGAGTAAAAAAAATTTCATCTCGCACATATCTAGTCCTGATATCGAATACGTCTAATTTTTGAGAATATTGTTACATAGTTTCAGATAATTTTATAAAATAGTTACTAGCATCTGTCATTCTTTGTGTATTCATTTATGTTTTGTCAGATTGTTGACGTTATCGGATTTCATTCAAGCACAGTTTAATGAATGTTATCATCAACTCAGAATGATATAGTAGTTTTGAGATTTATTCCTTATTAATCTTTTGAGTACCAGCGTACTTGATAAAGTACGATTTTCTAGAGTTAGTTTTTCGGAAAATCATTGAGCCTACTAGGTGGAAGATCTCACTAGAGTCGTAGTTTTTAAAACAAATCTAAACTTCTAAGTGTCATATACATCATAGCGAATATCATATCTCGGTATTTTGCTGTGTTCGCGATTTATTCGAAAACCGAGAGGGTGAGAAAAGACATCTTAGATTTTGAGCGTTGCCACTCAAAGGGTTAAAGGAGTGTTTATGGACTGAAATAAAATCTGGTATAATGAATGAAAAATAATAGTTTAAGTAAATAAATGCTTGTTCTCATGTTTTCGAAATGGACAAGAGAAGCTTACTTTATACATTTATGGTTCTCGAAATTTCTTAATAACATTAACTAACTTAGAACTCTTTTGAGAAAGAAATTAAATTGTTTATTCTAGAACGAAAAAGAAGCAATATTGAAAGTCCATCTTTCATAAGTTTATTTTTTGAGATATTATGTGTTTTGAATTGTTGGAAAGTAATAAATTTAATTGTTTTGTAAGAAAATAATTTATGTTTGAAAAAAGTTTCGCAATCAGGAAAAAACACTTCTCTTAAGTTTGTGGAGTGTGGGTGTGGGTGTAGTTCTCACAAGAACCTCTCATATTCACACCTGCACCCCACACCAACTCGTATCTTCGCTTCGACTTTATTTGATAGTCAACGATAACAACAACAATGATGGTGGTGACATTAAAAGATAGCTCCTGCAGTCAAGTCTCTGATCTGAAAGGAGAATGTTGAGAAAAAAATTGAACATCATTCACTTGAGAGTTGACAAAAGATTCTGTGATCTTAAGTCGAAAGCGACTGAATTGATTGAGCATGAGCATTTTCCTGGAGAGATCGTTTTCGAATAACATCGTGACTGAAAATTCTTCACAGGAAGAGGATAAACCGTCAGAAGAAGTTTCTGCAGAGAGAGCTTCATCATTGAAATAACTTGTTTGCTTGCGGGCAATTCTAGCCTTTGCTACACTCGTAGTCAAGCCACTATTTTCATAGAAGATCGTTTCTTAAACTGGGCATGTTCATGTCAACAATGAGATTTAGCGATGAAAGTCGAATAAATAGACCCTTGAGGTACAACGAAGACACAGTCCAAAGTACAAATGAATGTGACTGGCTATAGATCGTGACTTTGATTTGATCAAGATGCGAACTTCTGTAAGCTGCCCATAATAAAAATACGAATACTAAAAAAAATCGTTTTGGAAGCTGTTCTAAGTCGTCGTTACATAGTGAGTCAATGATTGTCAATAACCATGCTCATATTTTGAATGATGACACGAGCCTATTGGATGATTGTATTGCAGAAGAAATGCCATGCTGCTTTAATGA